GCTAATCCATTTGTTTTGATATAGGCCTAAAGAACTACATTTTTGTATGGGCCTTTAGAACTATTTTATGGAATTTGTTTTACAATTTTCTGTCGAAACAAGGAAGTCACGACTTATAATTAGCTCCTGTAGTTTCGTAACAAATATACCACCAACAACTGACAGAATAAGGGTTACACAAATGTACCACCAACAACTGACAGAATAAGGGTTACACAAATGTACCACCAACAACTGACAGAATAAGGGTTACACAAATGTACCACCAACAACTGACAGAATAAGGGTTACACAAATATACCACCAACAACTGACAGAATAAGGGTCACACAAATGTACCACCAACGAGTGACAGAATAAGGGTCACACAAATGTACCACCATAGACTGGCAGAATAAGGGTCACACAAATATACCACCAACAACTGACAGAATAAGGGTCACACAAATGTACCACCAACGACTGACAGAATAAGGGTCACACGCACTTGGGGTTGTCGGTGACACTGCCGGACTCCCCGATGTGGATGTTGAAGGGGTTGACTCGGTCCCAACAACAGGGATCCTGGCGGTTGAAGATAACCACCCTGTAGACAGCGTTAAAACATAAGAACAGTTACATTAGAGTTTTGGGCACACATTATCAGCTATAATACCACCAACGACTGACAGAATAAGGGTCACACAAATGTACCACCATAGGCTGACCGAATAAGAGTCACACTAGTACTGGTCAGGGTTGGCACCATGTGAGGAAAATCTCCGCACTAGCATCATCACGTCACTCGGAGATTTTTGATTAAAGGTAAACTGTTGTAGTTATCGTGTCGAGCAAATATCATTACGGTAGCATATAAAAATGTAATTACAAAAGACACACCTGAATCTGAAAAGACTTGGACCTCGCACAGGGACAGTGCCCGGTGGTACCCGGGAAGACGAACCCCGACGTGCCGTCCCGTCATCCCCTGGCACGGGACGGAAATGGACGGCTGGTTCACGCGGTCGAGTTGATGGTCACCTCCGCACTTGGGGTTGTCGGTGGCATTGCCGGACTCCCCGATGTGGATGTTGAAGGGGTTGACTCGGTCCCAACAACAGGGATCCTGGCGGTTGAAGATAACCACCCTGTAGACAGCGTTAAAAACACAAGAACAGTTACATTAGAGTTTTGGGCACACATTATCAGCTATGACGGCTCAGTTGTATGTTTGTGGTCAGTAGTATTTCCAGCTGAACTTGTGAGTGGTGCATAAGCTTGGGAAGTGAAGGGTTTCTTTTTTTTCCAAAACTTACCTGTTAATTGGAAACGATTGTCCGAGATCAACCCACCACATGGGGTTGTGTTCGAACTCCGTGTGGAGACAGGATCCAGAGTCCACCCACTGGTCAGTAAAGTAGTGAGAATAGGTGTTTCCGTCCACGCCACGGCCGGCTGACCCATTCCACCCGACGGATGATTGGAACGCCGGTCTCCCTAGAGCGATGTTAGGATCAGCTCTAGGCAAGACGACTGTCAGACATAATGTAGAAGTAACATGTTTTACTAAGTACACGTGTATGTGTTGAATTTCATCATCATAACTTTAACAGGTATTTAAGATGAGAAAATCATAATGGATTTATTATAATGGAATCACTCAGAAAAGTGCATTTTTGTACTACACCTGATAGATTTGACAGGGTGAAACAAAGATACGGTCAACCTAAAAGTGACCTGAACTGCTGGGACCCTGAAAACAGGGCGGAGGCAGGGCTTCGTAAGCTTAAGTTTTCTTAAATTGTCCAAGGCATGTGACAGGTGAGAAGTCAATCTTAAAGCACCTTGAAGCCGAAATGAGTGATTGTCGGGTCTTAGTCTAATCTCAGTGAAAAGCAGTGTGGATTTCCTAAGAAGTAGGTTACCAATTTTTCAGGTCTCTTGTTGAAGACGATATTTTGTACACGAAAATGATGGCATACAAACGAAATGATTGCTTTGAGTGTTGGAAAGGTTTTTACCAAATATAAGTACTGCAGGAGCATGAGTGTTTCGCTGGAAAGACTTAAGTGCAAATAGGCTACAATGTGTAAAATGACTGCCGCTTTACCGACGCTCGTTAGCACGACCAGAAGACCAACCAGACAGCGCATGATGTCGGCAATGTTGCCCCGCAGCAACTTAGACATTCTTGTCATGGCTTTGAAAGGTAGCTCCCTGGTAACACAACTTGCCGTTGTGTACATCTGGGATACATGTGGTCATTTCTTACGTCATCTTGAATTTTTAAACTTGATCTTCTAGAAATTGATGCGCAGTGCGTGGGTGAATGAAACAGACTAATATAAAGTACAAGTCTGATTACTGCACGTTGAACTTGGGAGTTATGTAAAGGCAACTCTATTTCTAAGTCAACTTTGTGTCGAAACTTTTACTGAGCTACATTGGCCACTTGTCTTTGGCTAAGCATGTGATAGTCACACAGTGTGATATAAATCGCAGTGTCCTACTGCCACCACGCTTCGTGCAATAACTTTAACGACCCCTTGTGGAAAAGACTTGCACTGCAGGAGCCTGGCGTTCAGGAGGTTAATCTTATTCGATGCTATTTATTTGTAGGCCAGTTTGTTTTATTTTCGGGGCTAGTGGATGGTTTAACTCAAGAAGCCATGAATGTATCCATGTGATGGTTGTTATGTGAGTAGGTGGCAAAACAAAGAACAAGTTTGTTGATGATCACCCTGGCGGATTTCTATGGTACTACAGCAGAACTCCGTTATTTAGTTGTATCGTTATCAAGCGGGGACACCAAGGTCGCCTTGATTTGATTTTTTCGGGAATATTTTCGGGACAAGAGAGTTTAACACCTTAACTGAGTGAAGAGCCACAGTCTCTGATATCAATATGCAGACGTTTATTTAATATCCCGATGAAACCCAGAGTCTTTTACATCAGTCCGCTGCACCATGGCAACGTCTACGTCACATCAATTTTCTTAGCACAGCACATATGCTCAACTTCAATACGAATGTTCTTCAAATTAGATCAATTGACGTTAATGTATACAACATCGTGAATACACCTAAGCTGCTAACCATTTACACACAGTTGGAATATTCCTTACATCAACCATTTCCAACTTAAAATACACTATGTTCAACACGTGGTCAATCTATAATACATTCACCACCTACATGTAGAAGCACTTTGTATTCACCTTAACAGTCTTCACCTTAACAGTTGCAATATTTGCTTAAACTTGAACAGTCAATAATTGCTACAAGTTCTGATGATCTAATTCTTGTCACATACATCTTTATCGTCATAGAACACTTTCAACGAATTCTCGAATATCATCAAACATACATAAAACCTCAGCTTTAGAGTCAACCATTAATGTTACAATCCAAAATTGCATCCTGTCACTGACATGACAAACTACAACTTGACAACTTGCTCCTTCCAATGTCAACAGCTAACACTACTAGACTCTTACTGACTCCACTACGTGTTTACGTTCTCTACTAGAAATGTATAGAGAGAGACAGAAACGATTTCTAAAATGCTCCTCACAAGCCCTCACATGGATGATAGTGAAAGAAACTAAACAACTTGCCATTAGATATTTCGGCAGATATTTGCCTCTCTCTAGGTGTATATACATACTCTGTGTTTACATTGGAGTGTCAGATTTTTTATTTATTTATTAATCTTGAGGGTCGCCCCTTCAGTTGATAAACAACTGATTTCCAAGGGGGGCAAGATCTCATCTTAATGTGTACGTATACATAAACGTCTTAAATGCATCAATACAATGATTTTACCATCGTTACTATAGGAAATAAGAATCATGAACCATTGAACATTTTGATATTCTTCAACAGATCAAAGGATTTGCTCTGATACCTGGACCCTGCACCAAGGAATATGACCTCAAAATCACCAAACAATAAGGAAAGAAGATTCAATCGTCGACAAGTAACATCGGTTAGACATACTTTCCCGATCCTGGGGGAAAGACATCTGCCATGTAAGATGTACGGTATGGCGCCATCTCATTAACGCCATCAGGGATAGAAACAGTTCTATTGGCGTAGGTATGCTGATCTCCCTCTTTGTTCTGACCGGCTGAAACTTTCTTACCTCTGGCTTTGAATATTTCACTCATTTCAATATCGCTAAGATGATATTGAGGGATGTCGAAAACATACGACGACTTGGCATAAGCCGCGTCTCTGTCATCAGTGTCAGCAGTGTCAGGTATAGTTTCGTACAGGCCAGAGTCGGTATTCTGATCACCGAGGTGGGTCTGACTGTTGATGTTAACAGTTTGGCCCTCAGCCATTTCGCTCTGGTCGCCCGGAGAGGTATTTTTACGTTTACCAGATTGCCTCCTAAACATAACCCAATACACGGCAAACACTACACCACAGACTACAGTAATCACTGTAACAACTACTATAGTCATGACCCAGCCAGGCCCCATACCAGCGGACTTGTCATGGGTTTGGGGCAGTTCTGTCGAGGGCATGGTTTGTAAAGTCATTTCTGGAGTCTTAGTCGTTTCTGTCATTTCTGAAGGCTTCGCCGTTTCTGTCATTGCTGGCTTCTTGGTCAATTCTGGACTCTGTTTCGTTTCTATCATTTGTGAGGTCTTTGTCGTTTCAGTCATATGCATGTCCAGGGTATGGTTCATTTCTGTCATGTGCAGTGCCTGTGTCATTTCTGACGTGTTCAGTCCCTGTGACATTTCTATCGTTTTCAGTGTCTGTGTCATTTCTGTCATGTCTTGTGCCTGTGTCATTTCTGTCATGTTCAGTGCCTGTGTCATTTCTGTCATGTCGTGTGCCTGTGTCATTTCTGTCATCTTCACGACACGTGCCTCCTTTGTCATGTCCAGGCTGTCTGTGGGTTCTGTCATGTTTGTCACATGTGTCACTTCTGTCAAACCATTTGCGCATATTTCTGTGAGCATTGCCGGTGAGAATTTCACATGACTGGAGGCCGCTGTTGCCTTCTTGACGTCCGTCAAGGTAGCACTAGTTGCGGTAGACGTGTTTTCTATCTCACATATTTTAGTCTGTTGCAGTTTAGGGTCTAACGGCGTATTGGAGGAGTATTTACTACTGCTAGTTGGCGACAAAGCAGTCGAAGTGTTGACATTAAGCCGATAATGGTAAATATCTGTTTTTGGACAGGGATAGTTTAGAGGACAGGCATTATGTAGGCCCATTAGCTTGTAACTTCGGTCTGCCTCGTTCCATGTATAGCACATGGAGATATTCAATGTATAGAGCTCTACGTTCTCCAGCTCAGGCGGTGATTTGCAGCGGAACAAGGACTGGTCTTTGAGCATCTCACGTGCGAACGGATTATCGTTCAGAAAATTCACACACCAAAGGTATTGCAATTGGTGCAGCCTACATCGCTCTGCTAGTATCGCGACATCAACGAGCCAAGCCATCTTACACCCACAATTGAAAGGGTTCCCCTCTAGAGCTACCTCATAGTGTACATACCTCTCCTTTGCCGACATCGTATTGATCCCTAAATCACACACAGGAATGACCTTCATCTTGTTGTAGGAAAGGTCTATTTTTCTGAGGTTGGCCAGGAAAGTCTTAACAGGATAGAGATTGAGACAGAAGATTTGATTGTACGACAAATCTAAATACGCTAGCGATTGCATGTTCTTCAGACATTTCCATGCCACATAGCTGATGCTGTTGTTGCGTAGATTTAGACTGTACAGCTGCCCGAGCCCCGCACACGGGAAGATAGTTATGGCATTGTTGGGAAGCAGGAGCTCAAACAGTGATGTGGGAATGTTTTGAGGGACGCTTTTTAATCCTGTGTTGTTACAGGTTATGCTGTTTATGCTTATCAAGACTTTATCTAAGAATCTCACTTCACATCCTTGAAGCTGCAATTTTGAAACTAGTGCATGTTCAAGTGCCTGGCCTGCTATGCTCAAGGGGACGAGGAGCAAAACCAGAACGATGAGCATGCTTGGAACACCTGAGGTCTGCTACGCGAACATCATCTAAGGGTGTCACATGGTGGCGTGACTTTGGCGAAATAGCAATGATTGTAATGGTTTAATGCAAGGCCGCGCCTATGTATTATTCCATTTATAACCCTTATTCTACCCTATCATTGTGTCACATTGTGTCAGGAAGTTCCCTCACTCTTCTTGAAAATGCAAGATTATTAGAGTTTGAAGGGAAATGTGTAATTGAATATGAAAAGTGTGTGCTAACACTACATGCAGCAGTTGCTTTCTTATTCTGCTTCAGTACACTTTCTGCTTACTGTTAGTGATCAATACAATTATCAATAAATCACCTAATGCATATTAATACCAGCTAGTATGTCTGACTACCAGAATGACTCGCTGGACATTCGTTCTGAGATCCGGGTATGACTTGCCGCTATTCCCCACCCGAAATCTTCACACAGCACGCCTCTGCTTTTCTTCGTAAGAACCCTCGATGTAACCACCTAATAAAAGCAAAAAGCTATTAAGAATGTAGACATCAAAACAATTTTTTCTCACAGCAGAAAAATTCACTAATACACGTCGCGCTCTCTAATATTTCAGCTGAAAATTTGTGACAGTACAAGAAGGAAGAGAAGCGATTGCATAATTTATTCATCTCATCGTTCCATGCACGTACGCCATGTCAGATGGGCATATTCGGTCGAGCAACATCCTTGATTCGAGTCAACATTGTGATATTACAAACCAGAATGGTGTTAAAAATTGTAAATGTTTTGTAAATCGTCAGCTACAGAAGTTTCTTTCCTCCTACTATGAATACATTTATACATAACTAACACTGTCCTAGATAAACCATTGAAAAATCATACATAGAAGTGAATATTACAGTTTGGAACACTGTCACATCCAAAGACATTGAGGTATTCTTGATCAGTTGAGAGACTAAAAAAAACGCCACAAAAAATGACAAACCTTTACGAAACTCTCAAGCTGTCTCGTAGGATACGCTGTAGTGCCAAACACCTGTAATGTCGCAATAAAAAAACAGAAACCTTAATTGTCTACCTGCCTCTGAGGTACAGTAGTTAATCATACAGTGGAAATGTTCCATCGCTGCTATGTAATCATGTTCACACAATGTTCCAATATTGTCTACTGTCAGATATGAATATATGGATGGGTTGTTTTAGACAAGGTATAGAACACATATTTGAACCAAGCCTATGCGATGTTGACGGCTAATGTTTGATGTGATATTTCTATATCTAGACGACAACATATAGACATGCTCCAGCAATTTTTATGGCTTGATATCACTAGTATTTCGAGAACACAGCTGTATAAGACCGCTAAATTTCAACTCAGAGCTTTACATCACTGTAGCCACATGTTGGATTACGGTATTGTTGCATGCGCAGATGACTTGTTAACAAAGACATAAGGTAGGCATTTGATGATCCCTTGGTTTTAAAGGGAAACTTACGTTACGAAGGAGTTCAGAGAGAGCGCTGTTAGAGCGATGTTGGCTCCCGTGCGTGGCTCCCGAGACGGAATGGGAGGAAACGACACTAATTTGTCTGACGTCGTGACGTCAGAATAGCTGGGCATCACGTGGTAAAAAACGTTTCATAACCCATCGTTTCATAACCGACCCTGTTCGGCGAATTTCTTTAAATTTTCCTCTGAACAGATTATTTTTGTCTCTCTCTTTCTCTGTCTCTCTCTCTCTTCAATCTCCCAGCCCCTTTCAGTCTTTTTCAATTCACCGGTAAATACGGACTTCAGATTACAAGATGAGTGACCAGATCTCAAAATAGGAGAAAAATGGACTAATCTATATAATTACATCGAAATATAATTTTGACAAGTCGCGGAAACATGACCCACCATTTGAAAGGCTTTCTTTATTGTGATCTTTTGATTGACCATATCATATCTCCGACAATACATCAGACAATGCAAATCCAGAACTGTACGTTATAAACCGCATACCGTACACGACATACGTTTTAAACAATTCCATACAAAAAGAAATTGTGTGATTTTGGCCGACAATTGGAATATCCTTTTCTGTATATCCTACGTAGATAATATTTCATCCAGTCATTGACCAACTGCAACGTGCACAGAAGGGAAAAACTTACATTCATTGACTATAATTGACCACTGTTCTTTATGTCTTGTTATTTTAAATGTCCTGTCGCACCAGTTCAGCCTTGATGGCCGCCATTGTACATTCTCATGACGTCAATAATAATAAATTATTCATTTATATACCGTCTGTTCCAGACTTCATTTTCTCAGAAGTGATATTGCAGTGCATTTTTTTTTCATTCTGGAGCTGCTTCATTTTGTCGTGAGGCAGACCAATCCAGACCGTGAGAAGGCGTATATTACATGACACATACGGGTGTGCGAATACTAATGTTCAATGTTCAACACACATACGATCATGGATGCCACTTTGGAATTTCAGTAACATCACTCTACTAACACATTTCATATTATATCACCCCCCCCCCCGTGTCTGTCTGTCTGTATGTTTGTCTATGTGGTCGGCATAAGGTATGGGTGGTCTTGGGAAGACGACGGTCAAGATGGATTTGGGGCCTCCTGGTGGTTTTTCTTGGTATTGCAACTGGTTGTGTACCCCTTGTATTGGACATGCTGTGGTTTCTATGTCTGGGTTTCAAACAGTTGATTTTTATGGCTTCACCACGCCACAATGTGAAAATCTTTGAAAACAACAGTTTACATCAGGCAAATATAAACCCTCACCAATAATGTATAGGATGTTAGCTATCCAACTGTTTTATGGCTTCACCACAACATTTGTGTGGAAGGGGGATAGGTCCATGTTGGGTAAGGCGGATGTGGTGAAGCGATGCTGCATTTGCTCCTGAGCAAATGTCGGCCTTTCTAGTTTGTTACAGATTTTCCAAAAGGACAACTGGAGGGAAAAGGCCGTGTTGCGATTAGTTGGGCCATGTGGTTAGATTAGGCTTTTAATGTGCACGATTGGATGACAATTATGCAAACGAGGACTGCATGGGGATACAAGGTCTCCGAACCCTATTTTAGATTGACCGGCCCTGACATTCATTTGAGTCACGGGTTCAGGGGCGATTTAATCAGCCCCTGACATCTGGACGGTGTCTTTCGCTAGGCTGTGCTACTAAATAAAGTCCAAGGTCAAGGGTATTCTTGTGCAAGGTTTGAATCAGTATCTTCTGTTCTTACAAGCTGTAAGATGTCTCAAGAGCAGGCCAAGGAGGAGACGGCGAGTGAGTTCGGCTTGAGAATGGTGAAGACCGTCTCTTCAGGGTTCGTCACCCTGGCGATGTCCATAGGCGCCCGCACCGGGCTCTTCACCCGCCTGGCAGGTATGGACGGCCCGAAGACGTCCGCACAGATCGCGGAGATGGCGAACATGAAGGAGAGGTACTAGTAAGCTGTGAGGTCTCAAACGGTCTCATCAGTAGATTAATGACAGGCACAATATGCATTTGAAAGGTGAACATTGCCCCCTAATCACAGGTGACGTGACAATGTTCCGTAAAAAGTGTATAGTCATTCATATAGAAAAAAAACTGTGTTCTTTGGCATATCTCCAGTCATTGGATCAAACGTTAACTACATCCAGACTTGTGCCTGTCTGACCGTTGACTGCTTCGAAAGTTTTTTTTTTCACGTATACCGCCCATGCAGTACTGGCGGCTGTCGCCAGATGGGAGGCTTTAAGGGATTACTGCGAGTCCTGAGAGACTCTTGAAATACATTTTGAGAAAAAAACTTCAACATCCGTGAATGGAGGTTTTGTTTTCGGTACGATTCTCTATTTGTTTATTTCCTTGTGTGTGTGTGATCGTTTACTATTTGAACACAGTTGAGTCACAGGAGGGGGGGAAGAAATGGTGTAACCGCAGACTGACAGGAAGGTCGAATTAGAGGCGGTCAAAATGGACATTGAAGTATGCACAGCATCAGTGAGAAATTCACAATGATGAATAAAACAAGACGTTCACAAGAGCTCCAACTAATCCTTCACGAATGTGTGAAATGTCGTATTCCTTATCCAAACTTTCTTTCCTCCTCACGATTAGGTACGTTCGCGAGTGGCTGGCTGTGATGGTGACCGGTCAGATTGTCGACTACGACAAGAAAAGAAGACCTACTTCTTACCGAAGCACAGGGCGGGTGCCTTGTTGCCTGGGGGAGGTATCAGGAACCTTTCTCTCTTCATGAGCCAGTTGGCTCTGGTCGCAGGTGACGTGGCGGATTGCTTCCCAGCAGAGGGACCCAAAGGTCTGTGTTTACACCCGGGGTGTACAGAAAGTGCGAAATTGAGCCAAATGAAACGGAATAATTGGGCGAAATGAAAAAAAGCAGCAAAGCAACAAGTACAAATTCTCCTTTAAGTATAGAGGCTACAGTTATTCTTTGCTATGATTATGACAGATGAAAATTGGGTGAGGTTAATTTTTTGTGTGCGTGTGTGTGTATGTGTGTGTGTGTGTGTGTGTGTGTGTGTGTGTGTGTGTGTGTGTGTGTGTGTGTGTGTGTGTGTGTGTGTGTGTGTGTCAGTGTAAATGTCTGGGCTAACTTCTAACAATTGCACGCAATAATTGTAATTGAATGGTATGCTATGCATCATGTGCTTATGCGACATCAGCTTTTTAGTGTGATAATTTCCCTTTCCTTTTCATGCGAAGGTCTACCGTATTCGGCCTATCCAGAGGTACATGCATTTTGGGGAGACGTAAGGGAGATGCAGCATAAGACAAACCTGGTGGACAAGTTTCTGCCTACAATTCCAGGACTGCGCGAAGACTTGGGTAATGATGATCGTGGTTGAAATATAAGATAGCCTTTGCCTCGCCTTTCAAGCTGTGCATGTCTCCTGTGTTTTTGTGAAATTCCACTGTAGAAACAGTGTCACATTGTCACAGCTAGCTACGGACTTTGAAAAAAAAAACTCGTCTCTTATAAAACACACACACATGTCTGGAATCATCATGATTCCATGATGTTAATACCTCCTACTCTCAATCCACCCAGAATCGGGAATCCGAGTTCTGGACGTGGCGTGCGGCAGGGGCATCACCACTCTCATCCTGGCCCAACACTTCCCAAACAGCACGTTCATCGGTACCGACCTCTGTGAGGACGCCATCCAGTGGCCGAGCGAGGAAGTCGAGAAGCGCGGATTGGCCAACGTCACGTTCCAGGTGCAGGACCTGGCCAAGATGCCCGCTGATTGGTCAGATTCCTTCGACTATGTGCAAGTCTGGGACGGCGTGCACGACCAGGCCGACCCCGAGCGCGCGCTGCGGGAAATCTTCCGCATGGTGAAGTCCGGAGGGCGCTTCTCCATGGTCGACATCAGGGGGCACACTGAACTTGCCGACAACTTGAGTCGCTCGGTGAGTCCCTGTCGCTACGGCATGAGCCTGCTCCACTGCATGCCAGTGTCGCTGTACTTTGGCGGGAAAGGTCTGGGCGCCATGTGGGGACAGGAGCTGGCGTCGCAGATGTTGGACGAAGCAGGGTTTGTCGATATACAGCTGCTGGATGTTCCGTACAGTCACGGCGAAATTCACTTCTTGTGCAAGAAGCCGTGATCAGACATGGTCTGACCAATTTTAATCTCCTTGGTCTGACCTATCGCACCGGCAGATGCATGGGTATCAGCAATATATGAATCGAGTTTCAGACTTGCAATGCGTGTTGTTTGCTTGCAATATCAACACTGCTTACCACACTTTGTGATCAGCATAACTCAAGACAGTGCAAAAAGGGCTGAAAGAACTTGTGATGATATTTGGTATGTGGGTCGTGGGAAGACGAAAGTCAATGTCGATTATGGACCTCCTATGTGGCTTTCCTCAGTACTGCAGCAGAAGTTCCTATTTTTGTATCTTATGACCCAGAATGTCATTAAATGCAACAACACATGTATTTGTATAGCAGCAATACGGCAACTTTTATTCGCACAGCAAAAGAAATGATCACCAAACTGAAACACCACATAGACGAAAACGTGACACTTTCGTGACTACAGTGTGCTTTCACGTGCACATTGTTGTTTCGGACTGGTGAAACATGTGTTACAAATGGTTTTGATATTATACATTAGTTTTTGGGTATAGTAAAACATGTACAGTTATCAAGGCTACTTCCTACAATTTTGCCTCAACTCTTTTGCCTTAGTACTTGCTACTTGTTTTCGTAGACTACAAGGTAATGATGCCAATGATATTTCATTTTATGCTCCCTTTATCAGATTAAAACGAAGTGTTAATCAACTGTTCTTGTTCGATCGCTAGTCTCTGCTTCATGGTCGTCAATAGTTGATCTTCCTGGCGATCCCGTACGCCATGGTGTTGGGGACGGTCGCCATCTTGTCCTCCATGAGCTGACGCAGCCACTGGTTCTGCAGTTCCAGCTCGTCCCGCGGGGGGAAGCCGTAGTACGGGGACTCGGGGTGCGGGTGTTCCCACATGGACTGGTCCTGCAAGGGAAAAAAGTCAATGAAAACATATTGGAATATTTTTGCATTTTCCCTCCAAAATTTGCAGTCGATTTCCGTACGGTAGTGCTACCATTCTGTTGTTTTACATCATGTTTGTGCAATCAGCATCGACGAATCATCGACGAAGAAAAAGGTCGCCCCTCTCTTTAAATACACATGCTCACCGCACACGCACGCGCGGACAGATAGAGAGAGAGAGAGAGAGAGAGACATGCACACACACTGAAAGTGGCTGAGCTGAGAATGAGAGAGTGACAGAGCGCGAGAGTGAGTGAAAAAAATGTCGTCTTACCAACTTGGTCGCCATGTTTGTGATCTGCGTCTGGACGTCCAAGAACCAGTACTGAAACATAATCAAACTCTTGATGAGTCTTAAGGTGCATCCTCTAGGGCTGCTGATGATAATAATAGTAAGGCATGTCGTCTGTACTTGGTCATGGTCTTACAAAATTCATCCAAGTAGGTTTATTTGTTGAGAACAAAATTCCAACGGAAAGATGAAGTTTCTTGTGTTGAAGACATTTGCCTTTGTTGTGCTTTTTGGCAGATATCTAGAAATGGTATACTATCCCAGTCATTTGAGAAATTGATCTGGCAATCTATCTCTCTGACATACTTACGGCATGCGTGATAGGAATGCATTGTTTGTTTGCTTTTCAAAAAGGGACGTCGCTAATTTTAAGCAAAATTTGAATCGTTCAAATTCACGAGGCAAAGAAGTCAAGAGAGCAACGAGCGAGTACGTTTCTGACCATCTAGATCCAATAACCTCCTACTAATTAATCGTTTACCAACTAGTCCGGGTGGCCGAACAGTGTATAGCTTTCACATCACAATAATTAGTAACTTTACCTGCCCAACATAAACAAAAGAACAATGGCGGCCGTCGCCATGTCATCATGGACGCCTGCCAAAAATGGAGCGTCTATGTTTACACTGATACATTGAATCCCCGTTCCGCAGTTTGTTCAAATATTGACTCTGCATTTATTTTAGAGGCGTGCTTTTTTCCTGAATTGTTGGATAGAATGCGAAGTCCTGGTCCAAAGCCTTCGCCACACAAAGGTGTTATTATTAAAAGGTACGGCAAACAGTCGGCGGGCAGTTTGGTAAATTGTGTGCTGGCATTTTGAGTGTGCACACAAGCACCCTTCATGTGAACTGGTGCGTACATCAATCATTTCTTCTATTGTGGAGACTAACAACAACATCTTCATTCCCACCTTTGTCCAGGCACGTAGTGTTTTATATGGAATCGTTCACGGTGAATTCCTATGCATGCGGGGTCTACAATGATATATCTGTTTGTAAAAGCATGTGCAGCATTCATACCTTTGATTGATTGCTAAGATGAGTTCCTTTTCGGAACTGGGTATCATCCTTCATAAAACAGATCAATTCTCCTATTCTACAGATACAATTGTATACCTTAAAGCCTTCAGCGCACTTATGAATAATAGATGTGTTTCTATGGTGATGTCGTCATAGTTTTTCTTCTTTAAAGTCAATGTAAATCACTGAGAAGAATATAAGTCTTGCCCGACAATGGTCTTAATCGTCTATCCTGTATACTGTACTTTTCGTGTTTCACATGATTGCAACTGCGAAAAATGTCCCCTCAAAATATCTAAAAATGCAATGAACAACACTTAGTAATGCGCTTGTTGTTGTACAAATCTTACCTCGTACTGTTCCCTTTTCTCCATGTTCCAGTCGTTGAGCAGAGTCCACTGTTCGGGGTGCTTGGTGTTGGTGTTTATCGGGGTGCGGCCCGATGAGACCCGGGCCGGGTTGGTACTCGGGCCCGCTGCCGCCGCGGCCGGCTTCCTGACACCACCTTTAGCTTGCGACATCTCGGAGAGGAGAAAGCTGGTTTGCACCGTCCCGATAAAAGCAGCGTCTGCGGCACTAGTCTGCTTATCAGTGCGATCTGACGATGATTGACGACGTTATCTTTTCTAAAGACGGGGCATATCAGCGTATTACTAAAGTAACACCCGCCGTGCAGGGTTGTGAGGGTGTTGCTATAGCCCCTGGCAGACTAGCGGCTGACTCGATAATTGCAGGTAACCTGTTCTGCAGGCACCTGTCAGACGCGACCACCTGCCATTGATATGCAAATGAGGACTCTGTGCAACAGGTGCGACGTGCTGGGGCTTGGTACTCAGCATGTGGAAAAGGGTCGCGTAGGGGGTCTTCGCGCACTTGTTCTCTAAGCAAGACATACACTATCGTGACAAATAACTTCCAGCGTTATATATAGTCATTGATGGTAGCCTATACACATAGAGTATTTCCTTCCAGACCATTAAAGGATAATGATGTCGTTTCCGCCGCTGCCAACGCAAGCAAACACCCAAAACACCCACATCTGAAGAAAGATATTTGTGTTTGGTAACGACAACTAACTTATCGGTTGATCCACCGATTGATAAGTTCATATACCAAGCGAAACGTCTAGATCTTACAATCGTACCTTTACTCTTGTCAGATTTTAACTCCAGGCAGGTTTTCTTGACATTGAATATTTCCCATTTTAGTGGTAGAAACACGTATTGTATTTCTGTACTTCCTCAAACCTGTGTAATACAAGGAAATTTGTTAGCTTTTCGCTTATTACTTCTGTATTTTAACCTTCAATGACTGTACGCAGCCTAAATATAGTGCGTAATTCTTTAGATTCATGTAGCCCAGGCCTGTATTTAGCGGCATTAGCCAGCAGATTTAGCGGCTTATCTGAAGTGTTTGTGCGTGTGATGACTTTATGACCTAATGTATTTGTGATTTATTTGGTGAGTGAAGTGGCCGCACATAGGCAACCATTGTTAACGACGGCAATACGGCATAGACAGAACACGTTTACACTAATCCCCACACACGGATTTATTTAAACAGGTGGCACCAACTTACTACAGGGTGTGTTCTGTGGTGATTCTTGTGGCTACGAATAACTTTTAAAAAGTCCGTAGTAAGGACATAGTTAATACATGCAAGGGCGACATAGTTAATACATGCAGAATTGGGCAAAACGAAAGAATATTACACAGAAATATGGTTCAAAAGGAAGGAGTTAGAACACAGATGAAAGAAAAATAAGTAGAGTAGTGAATCGTAGTAAAGGAATGTTGCATTCCCGAACTTAAGTAAGTATTGTAAAACAACTAAAACTTGGTTATTGGGTACCATAATCTTTAAACATAAACAACCGCCTAACCCATTATCTTACAATTAACGTAAGAGCACTTGCTATTATCACAGGAAATGAGTTATTTTGGTTGCTCGTCTTCTAAAGTCGTAAATAGTGTTAAACTTGTTTATATGCGTCATATATACACCAATCCTTCTTGCTCTTAACTGTTAATCTCTCTTGGTTATGCATGTATACCTAACGAAAAACTTAAGTTACATTGTACAAGTTATGCCAAATGAAGGCGTTGTCGCGTTTGGGCAGTGCCGTACTCGGTTGTCGTATAGTTTACCTCTTTTTTTTTACCATAGATCGTGATTAATAAACATGTAACTTCATGATCTAGAAAGTGACTGGTGTCACCACGTTCTGTCGTTTGTTTGTCCCCTCTACAAAACCTCGCTAGGAAGCAATTAAACCAGCCCGTATTTTCCTAACACGTTTTCTCCGTGACCCCGCCGTTCACTGTGCAACAGAATCTGAGAGATAATTTTTGTTCTGCCTGTTTATTTGCTTAAATAACAGCGCGTGGGGGAGTGTATCAACCCCTGTCTTTTGTCGCCTCCTACCTGCATGAACTTTGCTCACTGCCTCTCTCCAACCTGTGACACGTGAGTCCGTTCTTTGTCCTCCCTTCTCTCCAAACAAAAGAGAATGAAATCCTAGATTTCGCTACCTCGGTGGCTCTTTGTTGAAGTCCTAAACTTCACCATGGATAGGTTTTGCCTGCCTTTGTTAGTGATGAAAGGGACACCTCCGCGTGGAGAAGCTGAGACAAGGGCAACATTTTTGCTACCGTGCACGGGCAAAACAGAAATACAACCAAAATAAACACTAAGTTCAAAATCAGTCCTAATCATATATATACATATATCTTCCATATCATTCTACCTTGTTACATCGTATGTTTAGATAGTACTTATTTATATCGTTAGACGATATAAAAACATGCAGAATGACAACAGTTGATCGACTTTTCATGTTTGTGCATAAATAGATGTCCTTGGAAGAAGTTTGTGACAGGTTTTATATCAAACAAACAATGAAGCAATATCTTACATGATGTACCAACTACCACTTCTATCGCAGATATTGGTACATTTCAACAATTGGTTTAGGATATAAATATATACAATTCATATTAATATACAGTTAGAATTACACAAGGTAGCAGCATACTTTATACTACATGGTGGATTCCTTTGGTGTCAGCTGTAGTAATGTAGTTCAAAAACTTCTGAAGATTCTACATTAGACATTCGTGTTGTAGTTCACTTCATCGCATGTGAGCTGAAACAACGGTGGCGTAACAACATTGGTGTAAAAATCAAAATCGTGCGTCTGCACATTGAACGTCGGTCTAACGTTAACGTTACTCAAAGTAGGTCTTCCTTCATTTTTGCATCACGTAATACCTTATGCTCAAATTGTTCCATAGACAAAGTGGTTCTATTTTGGACCATTGTGAAACATTTCAAATGTATCCTGAAATTCGGAAGACCAAATGAGTGTTTTTTTTTTAAGAAAATTTAACGCCCGTATTTTGTGTAACGCAAAATAACAGGTGTACTAAAATGCCTTAAACAGTGACTGTAGATAATGTTCTTTGACTCAATATGAGCCTCCACTATTTCTAGAAACGTCCTAAATGTGATGTTGACATCAGGTCCTATCGTTTCACTTTGAGACGAATTTAGCAACAGCGTACAGTTTAGAAAACAACTAACGGTCAACAGTGTGGTATCATGTATCCAGTGCTGGACGGTACTGAAGTTCAGTAGTGCTTGACGGCTTGGTGTAACACTTTCTGGCTCCCCGTTAAGCTGTAATCACTGTCCACTACACTACTCGCAGACGAACTTTTCCCTCCTCTCTCAGACTCCCTGATCACCGCCAAGCGCGGGAAGTTTTTCACTGGTTGTAGCAAGGCGGCCAGGCGGGCGAACCGGTCGTCCTGAAGGAAAGCGTTCTTGGAAGGCGTTTTGTCCGATAGCGTTAGCTTCTTACCTACCCACCCATTCCGTGCGCTCTTTGCGACCTCCCCTGTGGGCATAGCTACGCCTCGTAACGTTTCCGTGGACTTTATCGTCGGTAGCTTGGTGAGCATCTGTTTGCTGTCGCGGGGGCTGTCGTCACTCGTACTCCGGTGCGACTTGGGCGGCCGGTTGCCGTAACTGTGCCGCTTGGTTTGCATCGGGACCGTGGCGAGTCTAGGCAGCTCCTCGCGGTCTGAGTGGACCTGTGGCGCGGGCTGGGTGTGTAGTCGACGCACCGTCACCGACAGTTCGTTATAGGGATAAGAAGAACTATCGAAAAGCTTCTTCCTGGGAGACTCCCCTCCTTCCCAAGCCGAATAAGGCGTAGCTAAAGCAGGGAAACTCAAGTTCTTCCTCACATAATTGTCCTCCTTGATCCACGTCTTCTGTTTCCTCTCCAGTCTCGTGATGAAGGTTTTCCTGTAGTGGTTAAACAGACTGTCGTTCCGTCTCTCTTGGTTGTTGATCACGGACAGTTTCATGTCTAATAACCTCTTCTGACTGACGTTGTCGTGTAGGATAATCCGCGATAAGCTGCTCTTTCCAGGCAGCATTTCCGTCACCTTTCCTTCGGCGCCGTTCTTGGAGCTCAAGTTCACCAAGTCCTCCGACTCCCTGCTGTACTCTGCGAAGGTCACCTTGCTCTGGGGAATCTTTATAGCCTTCGTCATGGTCATTCCCGGGCCCGGCATCGTTTACACTCAACAGCAGCGTTCACTTGGAACTGTTCAGACGTACCTGACTTGAAGCGGTCACTTGTTGTTTGGATGTCCAGTGTCCGGACGACACCCGGACACCGACGTTGCGGTGTAATGGCCTGTCATGGCGTCTAGGATATCATATAAATCCTTGCTGTGTCAGGGCTACAGAAAGACTACAAAGACGACAGAAAAATCCTGAACACCTTGTTATCAGAACTTGAAGATGTACAAGGCAAACATGTGAACAAACAACCGCTGAAGGTCTGTCTTTCTTCAGCAGACCGCAGACGAAGTCCTCATTGTGAGTCCTTCTGGAGAGGCGTTGAAGCAATCACGAGGCGCGCAGTGTTCCTCTAACCTCGCGGCTAGGTTAGGTTTCTGGTCCCGATTGTGTGGCCGTGTAGAAGGACGCACGTATTTAGTTGTGTCAACACGAGCAGAACAGGGGCAGGTGCCGTAAAACCACGGAGAATACGTCCCAACTCGACGCGTCGTCAGGGGTCGTTCTGTCAGGCTGGAGGCGTCCGGCACGACACGGTCCGTATCCCGGCGACTTTCACGCACCAGTACCTCAAAATTAAGATTGTAAGTCACTCTCTCCTCCGTGTGTCTCAAGATATCCTTATAACCTACAATCCACCAGTCCCGGTTCACTTCGCCACCCACAACAAAGCACGGTTCCCAACCAACAACCAATCAGCTCCCGATCCGGGGAAACATTTATCTTCCCTAAGGGGAACCTAACTAACTCGCTCCACAATAGCGCCAGGGTACCTTGCGAGCTATCGCTCACGGCGAAAATGTCACCCGAGCACCTCGTCTTTTCTCTCCCAGAAACACTAGCTGTCGCATACCTGCCTTGTTTAGATACGCGCCGCTTGACATTGTCAGCGGCGAACAAAGGGAGTATATGTTTTGGCTTGGCAGGTTTTATCTTTCCGGCAGCTGAAATATTAGATTGGAGTGGTCGTGAGCGGTAGATAATTCACTCATGTTTATCCTGTGTCTAGTAAACGGCTACTACCAGAAACCAAGTTTAATTAGACCGTACAAACGAGCTATAAAACGCTTTATCATTATTCGTGGCAATTGCAGATATGAGGCCGTATGAACACCGATGTGAACTGACAACATAATAGTGATTGATCCATTTTGAACAAGACAAGACCGACCCCTTGTGATGTTTTGCTTCATTAGATCCAGTGTACAAATAATATGGGCTATTCAGAAATACCACAGACCTGCTTAATTCAAACACACTGAGACAATTATTGCACTATATATACTACGTAATATTTCAAAGTTCCATGCGAGGGGCGCAAGCTTGATTCAGATCATACAGGTATCAAAAGCTTCCGTTTCTAGGCAGTCGCGTTCCACCTTGTAACTCGCCATAGGAATGTTTGGTACAAAGTTCGGAGGGAAAAGAAATGTCAAGGTTCTGCTGCAGTTCGTACATGATTCGCTACAAGCGCTTCAGTGAACCAATCAATTTCGAACGACCGCGATTTTTGTAACATTCCAGAATCAAAAAGATTAAAGGACAATAAGTCAAATATAAATCATTTCACTATACGTTTCAGCCATTTCGCACTTTGTCATCTTTTGAACACATTTTAGTGTGGTAGGACCACGCCGCTGCAAGATGGCATGTCTCCAATGGGCACAACTCGGCGGTTGAAATTCCCCTTGGAAGACGCGCTACGTCGGATTATTCTATTTTAAGTGATGGTGTGTGGAGAACGGAATAAAGTGACACTTACCAATACGGGTATGACACATCTTTCACAGACAAATCTGAACACGAAATGTCTTTTTTCCCCACCATCTTGTATTTGGTAGTCCCGCCAGACGGCGTAGTGCATCATGGGAACCACCTGTTAGTCCGGCACCTGTTGCTAATCAGTTTAATCTGATCAACTACTTTAAGGCAATGTTTCATCAACATTGGCATTCAAACGTATGGTTTTCTCTTGTCTCACCATTCACCCAGAAGAACAACAGTCATAACAAACAAATAAACAAACAAACAATCACCTTTCCTGAAATACGTTTATTCCAGGTTCCGTATAAATTGGCTTAAATGAATTACCTGTCCACAAATTCATTTTTCCACATACTGTAATATCCATCTTGCATGATTGTTGGAGGCCAAATACAATGTACTAGTAATTCTCAGTAAGTAGAACATGTACTAAGCATTACAATAATAGATATATAGAATGGTTGTGAGACATACACCAACAAAAAGAAATCAGGTTATTCTTTCTTGTTCTTCACAAACATATAGGAGCTGTATGAACTGTACACATAGCAGTCTTGTGGTTTTCATGGTAAAAGCTCTTTGAAATAATAAAATCGTTTTGCATCCATTACTTCATACAAATGTTCCCAGATTTGTTTCTAGATATTTCATATTTCAAGATCAAAGACCTCATTTCTTTTTTTAACAGAACCAACTGCTATATGTTGGACGAGTCCTCTCCAATTTAACTACCATATCCCTAACTACTCATATAAACCTTGAAGCAACATTCAAATGATACAAACATACCAGACATCTCAGGCAACCAGGAAACTAGACTTGAATCCAATTTTTTAGAATACAAATCTTCACACAATTGTCTTGGCTGTAAAAAAACATTATGCTGTAACTGCAGATCTATCAACAGCATTTCTTTTCCCCTGCTTATCTAAGATCTAATTGACAAAGTGTTTTCAGTCACAATGCTACTGGTAGACTACAGGTTCCAATGATGTGGACTGAAATTTCCCAGATGCTCTAAGCACCTTTCTTGGATCTTCTGCCAGATAACTAAAGCAGTAACTAATATTTGGCGCATATGGCTAGTCTTCACTAGACTAACAATTCAGGGAGACAAAATTTACCCAAAGAGGGAGAATAACTGGTCAGGGGAGTTTGGCCACCATAGAGTTAATTTTCATCTTATTGTGTCTCACTCCCTGGTCAATTATTAACCCTGTTTCGGGGAAATTATACAATCATTAGGACATTAGAAAAGCCTGATGGAGGCTACCAAAAGGTTACCTAAGAACAAAGAAGGATAAGCTGTAATCAGACAATGGTCAGAGCTCCGAGTACAAAAATACAACATCCCGTAATGTCCTGAGTTAGAAAGAGCCTTATACACATGGACAGTTAAGTGTACATTATAATAAGTAACCACAGGTTACAGTGTTGCTGTTTTTGTACATTTAGTACATTCTCAGTCATCTCAGGAACAATTAGAAGTATGGTAGGCTTTGGAGACTTGAATACATGTGTAATTTACAAGCTTACATCATTGCAATTCTCTCCAAAACACCAGTTCATGTAGGCAAGTATGGAGGATCTTCATCATTACATTACCAGTGCTTACAAACTTTGTATACCGGTGTGAATAAGACATCAAGCAATGCTTCAGCTCTTGTCAAACCAAACAGAGAGTGTTTGAAGAAACTTTGAATACTTATATCTAAAACAAACAGGATATGTACTTACTGGCTAATACTGTGTGTAGATGTTTACATTGATGCAAAATGAATGTTTCACAGGAATGAAAGCCTTGATTAATTTTTATAACTTTGGTAAACTTCTAAAGCATGAATCAGATTTTCTTTAAAACCATATAAATCATGATCTTAATAATCTATAAGCATGAACCGCTACCAGGCTAGCTGAACAATACTATACTGACTACAAGTATGGCAAGTCTGGTGGCAAACCTTGTCAAGAATATCTATGTTTGGCCTATTGTACATTGTAAGCTATTAATTTGGTTTCTATGAGCATTTTAGAAATGACAAACCAAATACCAAAGCTCTCTGGCCATGGATTGTTCAAAAGCTCTTAAATACAATAAATATTCTATAATATAATGGCACTCCCTCTCAACAGTACCTTATACTATTCTGAAAGGCTATTCACAAATAGGCAAAATAGCGACTCAATACAAACTACACAGGGTGTAAGGAGAGCTAGGAATTTTTCCTCACTGCTCTCAAGCATTCAAAATGAACTAGCCCTTTGCTGAATTATGGACACCATGTTTATGAGCACAGGAGTACTAAATAATATGGTATGTTTGATTACACCTTCACTGTGCTGTTAGGAATAAATATCAATATCTGAAACTAAGGCATCCTTGTACAGGTCATTTATGCATGCAACTTACATGTGCCCAGACATTTGGCCCAGTCTTTTGGAGACATGTATGTTAAAACACATGCAAACCCACTTTGAAGAGAAATCTACTGCTCACAAATTTCTGCTGTACATTTCCTGAATAAATGCAACATTATGTAGAAAGTAGCTAAGAAAATCTTGGAATGATAAAGCATATAAAATGTTATATGCACCATCATATGGCACAATACAATATACTGTAACATGGTAGCAACAGTTACTGTACTATTAGGCTTCGTATCAGCCTAGAAGTACTTTTCAGCCTTGAAAACAAGAGCATCATAAAAGGTATTGCCTGCATAATACTTCACACTTTTTGTCATTAACATTACAAGAAATGTTGGCATTTTATGGTCTTCAGCAATTCATTCCCCCAGAAGCAAGATGAAGGAACAAGTTGTCCTTTGTTTGGCTAAGAGATGAATTTTCATCGAAAAAATGCTGGTCCTTTTACAATCATAGCTAGTGCCCCTCTGTAGCAGTTTTACAATGCTTCATAATATCTACTCTTACTGTTTCATCAGTGTTACTATCAATATGATATCTATAAGGTTTTAGCATGACTTCACGTCGTCTCTTCTCTAGGGGTCAGGTCGTGACCTTGGTATTTACAGAAGGTTTTGTCAAACGGGATACAGTTGACGTACTCGCAACCCTTACAGTCTGTCAGCGGCCTGACGTAGAAAAGAACCACCAGTCCGGAGAAGAAGGCCACAAACAAAAGGAAGGACACGATGATCTGTATTCGCTTCCTGTTCTTGTCGAACGTGCCGAATGTGATGTAGGGTAGGAAGGAGAAGGAGAGTAGGATGCCGCAGATGAAGCCGGTGATGTGGGCAAAGTTGTCGATCCACGGCAGGAGGCCCAGGACAAAGAGCACCAGGACGATGATGGTCAGCTTCAGGATGGCCCTCCAGGGTGCCTGCAGCATCTGCCAGCTCTGGAACACCTCCACAAACAGGCACGCGATAACGCCGAAGTGGGCACCTGCAGGTCCAACCTGAAGTGGGGACAGAGAAGGACCAAGTTTGTAAATTCTTTTAGCTTATCACAGGTGGTGATTTCTTTTCTTTTTAGAGTGTTGAGTGTTGAAGTAAAACGCTGAACTTTATTACAACAAAAAGTTACACAGAGATCAAATTTTCAGTGACCGCTGTCGCCTTCATCAGGATAATTATTGACCATCACTTCAAAACGTAATCTTCTGAGAGTTACAATTACAGACACATCTTATTCACATGAGACTTTACTGATACGTGACGTGGTGTTAAGTGTTGTTGCTCTTTATCCCTTACCTCTGCCTGGTACGGCAGGAACACGGCGCTGGCCAGGTTGCCTCCGATGCCGCTCAGGATGTAGATGATGGCGATGCGGCCCCAGCCGGCCAGCTTCTCCAGGTCCCGCAGGATGGTCATCTGGAAGATCACCGACATCAGCAGGTGCACCAACCTGCAGGGGACAGAAACAGCATCCTCAATAACTGAACAACCATGTCCTGTAACTTTATAATCATTTCTTTCTGTTTATGATCCTTTCATGAGACATAATTGTCAACATTATCCAATACGATAGATTAGGAAGGTGGGTAATCAAGAAACCCCAAGCCAACACGCCTCTGGCAAAATATAGAAATGTAAAAATAGAAGTAGAAAAATGCACAAATTTGAAGAACATGCAGCTAGTCTCTCATTGGTTGAATAGTTAATTGCCCTTCTATCATTGGTTAAAGTGCTACATGTAATTGTGATTGACAGGATCAGTATATTCAGCACACCTACCCAGCATGTAAGAAGAGTGATGTCCACAGCCTGTAGAACTGGTCAGGAACCTCCGGGTCCATGAATGGGAGGAGGCCACAGATTCTGTCCATACACGACACCTGGACGGAGAACACGTTAGTCCATTATGATCATCATCATCAGTCAACCATATTGGTCAGAGTTACTGCCCCTTACAAAGTGACAGACACTTTCATTGCCTGTTATGAGACAGTCAATTATATGGATTTTGAAGATGCCCCATTTATCAAAACCAGTGAGATTTCTTGTTTTCTAGGAATATTTGCTTCCCTCGACATTTTACTCCGGAAATTTGTTAGAGATGCGAAATTTCCAACTGTTTTTCCACATACAATGACAGCATCAGTGGACCCAGGTGGTATGCACTGAAGACTTACCTGTGAGCAAAGCGAGGCCTCCTGGTGGAAGAAGCCATGTTTGAACTCGCAGTACTCCCTGGTGGTGATTTCACAGGTGCCTGTGATGCCAATACAGCAGGGGTGGGCTGTCACCTCACATGTCATGTGGGGCCGGCTGTCTGCACCCTCCTCCTTACACACCTGCACGGGACAACACAACAACATTTCACACCTTTGTGAAGCATTGTGAATTTCTTTGTTTTATTTTTTAGAAAGGCATTCATGCTGACACAGCTGTCCCTGGTGCTGAATGACATTCATACTGACGCAACTGTTATTTGACATTCACACTGACACTGTCCATTGTGCTGAAAGCCATTTACACTGACACCAATGACACTCACTGTCTATTGTGCTGAAAGACAGTGACACTGACACAGCTGTCCCTAGTTCTGAAAGGCATTCAAATAGTGGTACCTTCTGTGTCAAACTATCACAGCTTATAACAGGAAAAAAAAAGTGTTATAATTGTGAAAATACTTACCGGCCACTTGGTCATGTCATCTGCCCATGTGTGTGGCTCAACTGAGCCTGGGTTCTTGCAAGCCCTGAGGAAGAACACAGCCACAAGTTACTAGCATAAAATAGCATTGTTTGACTACGATAGAACCAGTATTAAACATTTATTTACACACACCACACGGATGTACATGTAGTATTTTATCAGACAACAAAAGCCAGTCTTACTTGGGGTCCTGTCCACACACTGCACCAGATATTCTCCCATCTGGACCTGGGTTGTCCTCAGACCACCTCACAAAATCTGCAAAGGTTTTCTGTCAAGGCAACAAAAAGTTTCTGTAAAAATTGACAGCAGTGTTCCCCTTCTACAGTGTCGAAGTTAGCAACTTTATCAATTGACAATCCTGTAATTACTGTGTTCTTCTCCACACAGCTTAATTAGTAGCTCAGTCCCTGTTCTTTTTGGTCTGTTTTCTCTCTTGTCATTACTGTCATTTACAAATGGAGGCATATGATATCCTGCTTGCAAAGTAACCAAACAAATAAACACAGGTGAAAAGTACAACATCCCAGCCAGTTCTCCCTAGTATGGGCCTAGTATAACATTGTGCAATAAGAAATTGAGAGCATTCTTGGAAATGTGTCCTACAAAATTCAGCTACAGAAAAGGTTGTCTCACAAATGCAGATCCTTGACTGCAATACTGTCACCACCTGCTAGAAAATTCTGCAGTATAAAAATTGCATGATGAATGTGAAAGTATAGAAAAGTACAAAATCTAATCACTAACCGAGCAGTCCTCCTCAGAAGACTGGTAACAGCCGGACTGGTCTGTCTTGATGCAGCAGCCAGTAAGATTCTCCATCCTTCTCTGTTCCTCTACCCGCTGGACGATCTTTGGGTCTTTCCTCATACACGGCGAGTACTTGGCACCAAGGTGTATAAGGTCCTCCTGTGGAAAAAGGATGGTCTATTCAAAATTCTGAAAAGTTAAAGGAGTGTTAACCTCTGAAGTAAAACATGTTTAGACTGAATTTCTTGGCTCAACACCACTTGTGTCCCAGACAACTGTTGGCTTTGTCTACAAAAAATGTACATTGTACACCTGTTACATCATTTGTCATCTGTGTTGTGTCATTTGCTATTCACTTACACCAGATGTGCAAAAGTTGGCATTAAAGAGTAATTTTGACCCTGCATGTTGTATAAAAGTTCATTCACACAAACTTGAGGCCAACGACCCTTACACATTGCAGGGTACGCAAAAAGAAATTGTTGTAACTGCACCAGCTGTTCTATTAGAATTCATGATCTCCTCTGCTTTTGGTTGAGTGAAAATGATTTGTTAGTGGTGTCTGAAAGGCCGTGCTGGCCCAGAAAGTCCTGATAGCGTGTAATTTTTACAGCGCTTTTCACTCAACTGGATTGGAAACAATCTATTCTCAACCGGAGGCATTTTATTTTTGCAATCATGCAAACAAAATGGGTATTATCATGTGATAAACGTTCTCAAATTTAAAAGACATGCCAGCCCTGAAAAGTGATACACCTTTTGCCTCATATGCATTACTTACGTCTTTAGGCCCTATCCAGAAGTTGTCCTTCTCAATCTTGGGGATGTTCTCCAGTGAAAGCTTGGGCGTACGCACCAGTGCTGTCATCTCGGTCTCCGCAAAGCCGATAGGAGCGATACCGTACACCGCCAACGCGATGATGGTGATCAGTATATGTACAAATGTGACCCAGTATGTGAAGTACGGTCTGGAAAATGAGACGGAAAATTTTGCCATCTTCGGTCTTTTCTTCTAACCCTGCCCCCCTCCCCTTTCTTACCCCTAAATAAGAAAATCCAGGTCTTACACGATGGCAAACACAGCAGGCTTACTCCCGAAGGTCAAAGCAAGCTCTGTTTTTGTATAGTCTGGCTTCCAGGCTTAACCTCAAGGAAAGCTCAGTGAGTGGCTGGTAGCAGGTAATCCTACCCTAAACAGACAATACCGTGTTGTACAAGTTTTCTTCTTTGTTCGATAACCAGTGAGTTTTACGTCCGACGTTTCAGTGACTGTCTCTCACTTTCTTCAGGGCAACAATGATTGGCTCTGATTCATACTGCAGCTACATGTACATGTATATACTGCTGCTGCAGTACCAGAGTTACGAATGTGGTCAGATAATATACCATGCAAGGTTCTCACCAGGATTTTTTCACAGCGTAGGGGTCGGGTACAAAAGGACAACTTTCTGCGGTGCAAGTCGTGCATTGAGTCCCCAAGATATGACCACAGCAGGGGGTCTGGTATTCTCCCCACAAAATTTTGTAACTCATAACCCTATGAGTTTCTTGCTTATTGGGGGTCATTTTTTGTTTTCCATTTGTTTTCCCTTTGTTATAGCTTCATTCTTAAGTTAGATTTATGAAGCTTCTTGCCCCCAAAACACCCCTACACTGGTTGAAACACAGTGTAGGGGGCTAAATCACAGCATAGGGAGTCTAAATCACAGCATAGGGGGTCTCTACATTCAAACAGCTGGTGAGAACTATACCATGTTGTACCTGTAGTCTGTGATGGTGTCTAGTTGATGCTTGATGTCACTGCTCATGGCCATGCTGCTTCTGTAGCTCCTCTTCAGCCATTTCCCCACCAGCCCTCTCCCGTACTCCCTCCTGTCCGAGTTGTCCAGTGCCATCTGGAGCACGCGGTCTCCGATCCTGTTCCTTCTCCGAGGAGCGCGGGCCGCCATCACGTCCTGCCCGCGCAGCGGAGGCGCTATCCTCTTCTTGCTGCCTGTTCTCCACCCACGATCCGTCGGGCTGACGAAAAACCAAAATCAAAAGTTTTTACCATAATTTCATTAAAAACAGTTCTTCTCTTGGGTATATTTCTGGATGGTGTCTGAAGTATGATCTTTTCCAGACCAGCAGTGAACTAACTAAGACTGCCAAGGACTGCTCAGGAACAACAGAGGGTAACAATGACATAATTCATGCAAAGTAAATCTGAAACCTTGTTTCCAATAAACAGAGTATGACTAATAAATTCTCAGACACTAGCAAACACATACTTTAAAATGTATTTTGAATTACAAAACGGTAGTATGTTTTTGAAGACGGTTATGATATGAGCTTAACGAATGTCACATGGGACAACATTTAATAATCAAAATATATTACTTCCGGAAAAATCTGCTTGATGATTAGTCAGCATCACCATATTTTCATTGTAGGTAGTTATAATGAATAGCATGTGTTGGGCCCTGACACATTAATATTAATGGGGGATTGTCTGACAGAATATTGCAACAATGTCAACCAAATGTGTTGAAAAAGTAGAAGCAAAGATAAGTTGCAACATTGCATTATTGTAGTTAAAACTGCCCAAGAAGACCACTCAGGGGAATGATAAAATATGGTCTATTTGGACAGGTGGTCACTATAGGCAGCTAGGACTACTAATGCTACTATGTGTCAAAATAGGAAAAAGCTATCTAAGGGAGCACCAAAAAGCAGTCACATTGGCCAGATGGTCCTTACATAAAGGTGGTACCAATTGTACCAATTTGACTGTATATCATACTACTATGAACACAGTGACTTGGGGTTTGTTAGTAACTCACAGCATGCGTGCGTTCGCTTCCCTCTCCTCACGATCCAGCGCGTCGCCAGCCCGGATCTCGTACTCGGCGGGCGCGGCTCCCCCATCCACCATGTCGAACACGTTGGAAGCCATGCCGGTGCGCCCTGGCTGCACGGCGTCGTACTGCAGCGTGCCCTGGGGCGTCGGGCTGGCGTCAAAGAACACCTCGTCGTCGTACAAGTCTTCCTTATGGGAAGGAGAGAGCTGGAAGAGGAAAAACGCGATAAAATCCCTAAAACAATCCATGCTTGGTTAACACACCCAACTCAACAAGACTACGTGCTTGGGAAAACATTGAAAGAAGGCTACAGTGTTACAGAGACCACAACAGTGTGTTTAGCCCTGCACAACCCACAATTACACATTCTGCACAGACAACAGCTTGTCCCTCTTCTTGCTTCCAGAACGTGTAATCAAACATTCATTACCGACAAATTAAAGCTTAAAGATCACAAAGAATTAGTGGACGTGGCATACTTGAAGGCCTTGTTCTGTTATCTTTGCTGAAGGTATAATTAAATCAGTTTAGATCACAATCAGTTTTTTTTTTGTTCTGTGTTAAATGAAGCTGCATTGAGAAAAAAGAACACACTGAAATGATATGAACAGGTTAGTATAGGGGACTGACTCGCAAAGTATTTTGCTTTTGTAACATTCATAAAATGCAAGATACTGCAAATGAAATTGGCCTTGAACTACACCTTGGGATTTCTACAAGTACAAATAAATTCTAGTCATTACACCTACAACAATCTGTTGCTTACATGCAGCATATTCTAAAGCTAGAGGAAGCATATATTACTAAATTGCTACGTTCTACATTTGCCAACCAGGGAGAAAAAAAAGCTTTCCTATGACTTGTGACTGCTGTAGAAGCTACTATGACATAGTGAGAGACACCACTGAAAGATAGAAAGTCACTACAATATTGTTAGTGGGAAGGACCTAAAACAGAGTCAGGGTTACAATAAAAGAAACACCTGCCTAAACACCTTTGTTCACCCCACCTTGCTTTTACTGCTTAAAGGTCTTTCTCTGACCTTGCCATGAAAGAACATAGAGGGTAACACCAATGATGGCATGGTTCTTGACATTTGCATGTGACGATTCAGTTGCGAGAAGTTCAAAATTTTCTTACTGACACTTTCAATAAAGTAATATACAATGTACATTGATAATTTTCCATTTGAAGTGAATGATTTGAAGGTAAATGTTTCGTTCATTTCATTTTATGATCTAGAAATGTATATTTAACACAGAAATTACCACAGTACAGGTATGTATGTGGCTGTGGCTGCCAGCATATTAAATGATATTTTCATGCACAATGGAAATGAATTACTCAGGTATACACATGAAACCAAATACCAACCTTAACATTGGTGTCTTTTTATTGCATACATGCAGAGAAAAAATCACACTACACAAGAGGCAAGCAGCTTGTGCAAATTTGTATAAAGCAAGATGGAGTGTCAAAGCTCTGAGGCTTAAATCATGGAAACAAAGATGTAAAAAGGTCTTCAAATGCAGGCTGGCAAGCATGAGGCATGTGATAAGAGCATGTGAAGCACGTCATGTAGGTGGTCCAGTGTTCCTAACGTATCATTTTGTACATCAAAGGTTCTGACAACCAGTGCAAAGGTATTTACACCAATTTGTGGGCCTAAAAGAAGAACCAGCATGCATTTAAAGTCAGTAATTAGTGTTACTAAGAACTCAAGCAACCCACTGTATTTGCTTCTGGGCTTATGATTAAACAAAAGGTATATTATTTCAGTGATTTTGAATGGAAGAGGAAAAGTTGCAATCATTTATGGTAAAATTATCAACAAAAGAAATATCTGATTGAGTCTCTTTATGGGATTTTTGCCCATTTAAATTTTGAAAATATTCAGATAAAGGGTAAAAAACTTACCTGATTCAACTAGACCCACACACTCAGACATTTCTTAAATTCTGCATTTTATATGGTGTACAATTACTACAACCATCCAGCTCAGGGTAACTGTTCCGTTATCGAATTGATCTTATTACAAAATTTATCACAAGTCTCTGAACCAAAATCAGTGGGTTAACCAGCTGAGTTGATTACACAAATTTTTTCAAGGATTTTCAATTACCTCAAAGGTATGCACGGGTAATAATGCAGAGCGAAGATGCCATCTCCATGCAAATTGGAACATAATTGGGCAAAAGGAAATGTTAGAATCAAAGCATAGGTAATCAACGAGCTGCAAAATTAGTAGCAAGCACAACAGGAGAGAAAAGAAAAAATACAGGGAAACAAACACATGGTTACATAAATAATGAGCCAACATCTGTGAGGCATTCTGGTGGGGAAACATTCAGAATAATACATGTACGTATTTATTATATCATATAATTATGCAAAAATAACATTAAGTACAATGTATTATATTTACATGTCTAAAGAAAAAAATACCAGTCACTGAAATTCTACATAATTGCGTTTTGTTTTCAATTTACCTGGCAAAAGTTACAGCGACATTTAATTATCATTGTTCATTGACATATTTCTCAAATGTCCAAGAAGTAAACAAAAACAAACATCACAGAAACGGAACTAGGGAAAAAAAATCAAGAAAGAGAAACACAAAAGAGCCAACAGCTATCTTACACAGCTGCCTTGTCCAAACCATCCTCCAATGAACTAAAAACTTCATGGCAAAAGAGGAAAAATGTCCAGCCTTACCATCAACTGGACTTTGTTCTCAGAGTCATATGCAGTGGCAAAATAATCTAGGCCAGTAAAACATATTCTTAAAACTCTGAAATAAGACATTTAAAGAAGCAACAATTGTTAAAAGGAAGACAAACTTGAAGAAATCTCACAATAAAGGAAGAAACTTATACCAGAAGCTGGAGTAAAACAGCACATGATGAGTGTGAAGTTTCCATGTTTGATCCAACTGTTTTTTCGGGTAACCACCACAACTGGACTACTGTCCCACTACAGGGCATGTCTGGACTTGGTACAGTTTATTCACAATGACAAATGGTATTATGTTTTCCCAAAGGTAATTTCTATCTTTAGGAAATGTTCATGTAGGGGATTCCCCACTCCTGGGGGTCAGTCCTGTCCAGACCTGTTGAGTCTGTAAACAACTGTGAGGCTGAAAGTCCATTCTTTTGTTGTTCTTGCCCCCCCCCCCCACAACATCTCATTTTAGGTGCTACAATACAATTGTAAATAAGAGAAAAATAGACAATGCAGTTAGTACGGAATTAGAAAACCTTTAGGAAAAACAGAAAAAGAGCTCATCAGTAGGGCTCATGTTTACAAGATCAGTACTAGTCTCTATTTTTGACATTTGGCAATATTGAAAATGTATTGTGGAGTACTGTTATGTTTCTTTTGAGCTCATGGCTTTTACCTGTTAGGATGTTAATACTACATTGTAGTTTAAGTAAGCATATCAAACTTTCTGACTTGCTTTCCCATTCCTAATTTTTAATCTGCTGCAGTCATCAGTTGAGACCAATAAAAAGACAACTATCATAATCATGGTTATCATAACTTTTCCCCATACAATTTCCTCCTTTCTAGATCTTTAAATACATGGCTTCAAATGAAAATCAATTTACATGAAGTGGAATGAAATGAGACATAAAGATATTCTGCACAAATCAGAAAACCAAAGACAAGAAACAAGAGCTTACAGTGTACAGGCAGGGCAGTTGAGTCAGATACAAGGCAAAATACATCTTTCAAAGATTTAATAGAGAAAATGTGGTAACGTTACACGACAATGTATGACAGCTACAACTTACACACAACGCACAATATTTTTTGGTCACTATAGGAAACCATTGTAATATTACCCACTCAACATACCTGTGTACACTTTTCTAGAACATCTATTTTGGGACATGGTTACAACTGGAAACTTCAACAGGTTGTTGGCAATTGGAAGGCTCTAAATTTGTAAGACTGTTGGTTCAGGTGCAGTATATACAAAGCTATCAACAATGTAACAGTGCCCAAGAATAGCAGGTGCAAATAATAAAAGAACCAAAAATAACTGCCGGCAGAATGCCACTCAAGGGCAATCATATATCTGTCTAGACGGTACATCTAAAGCAAGGAGCAAAGTAACTGCAAGGTAAGTTTGAAATGCAGAACTGGTGTTTTGGATACACAACATCTTAGCACACAAGACTAAGATTCTGCAGGATCACAGAGAACAACAGGGCACATGGACAGACCAACACGGGCAACAGAAGCGAACCACGTCACGACAGCGCGAGGACAGAACGAGCTACCTTGAGAAGAAGGAAGAACATGAGAGCTCCTATGTGTTGGAGGTAGAGGAAGACTGAGAATGAGGTAGCAGCCTGGTGAGCCTGTAATGGCAGAAAACCACAGTCAGCTGAACAGTGCACTCAATCATGCCGTACAAACGCTTAGCGTCGACTTGTTAAGCAGAATTTTCTTGAAGGTATTAGTCTGGGGTTTCTTCAAACACCCATGCTGGTTAGGCAAAAAGCTGTTGAAGCTACAGTAGTAGTAGTTACTGTTAGTCAGTACAGGTAGCAGTAGGATTTGGGGCAAATATGCAACCTGTAGTGTGAATATAAACAGGAAAGTAGTGAAATCTACATGTAATTCTTGATCCCTTATGCCTGTCTGGGGAGTCTGAGGCAAGAATGCGGATAAAAAACTCTTCAACTCAATTCTAGGATGTGTCAAACAAGTAAATGAAATGGGGTGGCTCAACGCATCATAGCAAAAGGTAAAAAGAGGGACTTTTGCCTACATCTACATAATGTACATTTAGATGCTGCTTTCATGCACATCAATACACTGTGGTTTTAAAATGCCAAGAACTCCCCAACACAGATGACCCTTGATCCTAAACATTAGTACTGTGGAAGGTAATATTGTAACATTAATCAACCCCTACCCCCTACATGTACTACACTGAGAATATTATTCATAAGCATGTTTGCAAGATGACAAAAGTACAAACAGCCATAGTCTGATGATAGAGGTTTCAGGTTGGAGGGATCCCAGGAGGGTAGTTTATACTGCTGGCTGCGGCATTACGGGCTCTGGGCTTCTACGTACATGGTACATTTTCTGATGGCTTCCTGAAACTCATGGCTGTAACTCATGTGAATGAGGTGATGGGGTGCAAAATGTGCAGAGAGGGGGGAAGGGTTATGTATGGAGAAGGTGATAGGATGTTGCAACCTACATGTATGTGGAATCTTGTATATGTACATCTAACTATGTAGTGCCTTCCTGTTTCTACATACTAAGTACATTGTATATGAACTAAATCCTGAAGACCATGGCTTGTTGACATCTTGAACTATCGACTCGGCTATCATTAAGATGTCGAAAATCACTTGAATATTTTCTTTTCTCGGTTGAGAGGGGAAGACAGCAAACCTCTAGTGAGTACAGTTGTAGCATTACATTTGAAATACACACACTCACATTTCCAACTTACAATGTAGTGCTATGTATAGGTTATGACAGTCTGATACCCCCTATTTTCAGCTTCCTGTCTACCCCCACCCCCTTTTGCTTTTCCTTGATCAGTGCTGCTATTACTATCACTATGAACGACCATATCAGATTTGTGCTGGACTTCCTCTCGGAGATCTATCTGTGTGTTTTACAGCTACAAGATGTACTTGTCATTTTTATGGCATGTCCTCGTATTTTTACCAGGGAACAAAGAGACTGTAATGTAGCATTGGCTGGCAATTTGTAGTTCCATAATGGTTCCAAAAGTCAATATAAAATATTGGAATTGGCTCTTGCCTTCCTCTTTGCATCCATCTAAACAACATGTGGTACATGTCAAATCGTTTGAGGGCCTACAAACTCATTACAGCAATGCATCTGTCTCCATGGCCATGAGATCACCTTGCCAGGCCACACTGTGAAAAGATTTGAACAAGAACAAAAACTAAACAAGATAAAACTGTAGGACATAAGATGATTGGGGAAGGGGCTCTCAAACATGATTTCCCAACAGAAGAGTTACTTTTACATCCTGACAGCTTGGCAAAATGATCATCCTGGTTCCAACTTTTCTTTACAGAGACTCCAAAATAATGAGCTATAAAAGGCGAACTTTTGACTTCTCAAAGAGAATTCCTCCAAAACTTTTTTGTGCTTCAGATTTGATCAAATTTGAACTTGGTAATCATGAAAAACAAGTGACTCGATTAGTATGGATTACTGGTAACAGAAAATACATGTAGAACGTCAGGAGAGTGAAGATAAATAAAGGAACAGGTGTGTGGTAATCCCGATGGAGGTGTGCCAACTTCAGCATGACCTTCCTCCTGTCCAATGTTGTGGTCCACAGGGTACCAAGTCTCCTCAATCATTGGACATGGTCGGCAAGCCTGCCTAGGGCCACGTATGGATTTTCGGTTTTCTGCTGAACAAACTCGTGACAAGACAAATCACACTGTCCAACGATCTCCCAGTAGTAGTACTTGATGAGGTACAGAAGAGTGCGGTAGGACGGATTCATGATGAACTGTAAGATCACAGTTCTTTAGTGGATGGTACAAACCAGAGGTTTACTGTAAATTCTACAAGCTTAAGGCACTGCAGCTGATTTATTGGACAGCATTAATGCACCTTAGGAGCGCCCGATGTACCAAGGGGAAATGTTGATAAAGGAACTTGTTACAAATTGCAGCAGCGTAACGATTTGCTGAAATAAGGCCTGAGCTTTGAGTTCTAAGAAATGGCCTATGCTACAACAGTTTGGGTCATCTGTGGACCATTTATCTCATTTGACTCCTTGTGATATCCTATTGGACTACTAATATTACAATGCATGACTGAACAGTGTAAAACTTTGTATTCTCCTGATCTAATGTAAAACACATCATTTTAGAATAAAACAGGCATTTGCAGAATTACACACACAGCCAAAATTACAAATGGAGTCAATGTACTGACATCACCACAAACTGTCACAACTAAAACAAAACCTTGTTCCATCATACTATATGCATAACCAGACCACACACCATGGCTGACCACAGACACAGACTGTTAGCAGAACAGAAATAAAGGAAGTGTATTTTAACTGGAGAGATCACATTATAACAGAGAGCTCTATAATGCCTAAGAACAGAAGATTCCAGCAAAGGTACATAGTAACGTCAGAAAAGCCTTGTTGCAGTGTGATATTAAGTACATTCAACACATCACGTCACATATATCAGTACATCAGCGTTACTTACATCTCGTCCAAAGAAGGAGAAATCGAGGTCATCAATGTCGTCATCTTCCTCCATGCTGACTGGTGCGAAACTGCGGCTGTTCACAAGCGGCGCTGGTTTGGCCACGTCCTGTTCTCGCTTTTGTTGCTACAGAGAAGAAAAGATAGATTTCAAAGTGACTATCAGTTGCACTACAACCTGTAACCATTTTTTTGCCAAATTGTTGATGTACATGTAAGAGGATACCCTCATCCTTTTGAACAACATTATGATATTATTTTTCCCCTATCCTGTGACTAAAAGACTATCCATATATAAACCAATATTGAAATTATTACGATTGAATTGTACCAGCTACTGTTATGCAGCATGCAATTCACACTCATTAGCCATCTCTCCAGTACTGCATGAGTATTAAATAGCGTGGACATCCACAATACTTGCCAAAGTCATCTTCACAAGCAGATCCCACCCCATGCTCACAACCGACTGCTGCCTCTGCACTTTCTGCCTCTGCTGTGAGAGGGCGCCGAACGCCGCGCGCCGCCACAGGCTGCTGGCGCTAGACCATGCCCCGGGAGTCGTCGGCGTCGTGTAATCTGTTGCGCCGTCAATATCATCGTACGGAGCGGGGACCGTTCTTTGACGATGAGGCAGAGCGAGTGGGTCGACAATCTAGCGGTGCAGGATGCAAAACATGCAGAAAACACTCCACGTCAGGCAGGCATGCAGCATAACCAACCATCCTGCTATGTCTTATGTAATGCCAATCTAAAGATTACATCTGAATTGTGATTATTCAAGTGTAAGGATGAAAGATTTGATGAGTAAATTAGGCACACCTGGTTATGATAAAACCTTTTTTATCTTGTTAAACTTACATGTAAAGGTCTAAAATATGCACAGTATATCTCAATCATTCTTACAGCTACTGACACCTTTTTCATTAACATTAATCCACAAAAGTTATATACGTGTACATTGCATAATAAGTTGGTAAGCTTAACCTTAAAGATAAACAATACTTAAGATATCGTACAGTCCCTTATATCACTCTTGACTGGTATCAACGGCTAATTCTTTGTTCTTCTATTCCCCTTGACTTGAAATGTAATTTTCACATCATGTTTGGATTATCTTAAATCTAAGGAATACAACCATACAATCATACACTTTGTGGAAGTCACGAGTATCTTATTTTTTTCAAAAATATAATTTACTTGTACAGCATTTGGACACACGTGACAAGTCAGACATATAATTTTCACAGACTTCAAATGAACTCAACAAGCAAATGAACGAAAGGTCATTTCTGTACAGTGTATGTCCACCAGTCTGCTGACCTTTGACCTGTACGCGTACAGTCCCTACCTGTGGGAGCGGGATAGCGGTAGGGTCGGGTTCCAGGATCCTCTGGATGCTCTCCTCCTTGATCTTCCCGTAGCGCCGACTGGCATGGCGGACTCTCCGCTGCGACCACCTCTTCTGTGTGTGCGTACAGTCCTCTCCGATGCCGAAGAAACTTTTCGTTCCCTCTGCAAATTTTCTATTGGGGTTCAAAATACGCAACTGAGTTAGCGCTTGTATATTCTACTTTACATAGGACAGTTATGTGCACCTTGATTCTAGTTACTGTGAGGATCACCTTATCTAGAAGTTATCTGCTGTACCTGGTTATGCACCTGCCAGGTTACCGTAACATTTGTAGCTGCAACAACTGCATCCTCTAGCACCTGTACAGCTGTAAACTAAACCTGAACCCAGGCATTCATTATCTTTGCACCTGTCATAGTATACTATCTACATACATGCATCATGTAGGCTCCACCTTGACCCAGCACCTCGAACACCTGTATAATATGTATATCGTGGGTTATACCTGCTTGCAGTTGACATGGTGGAGTAGGTGGAATATTTCCGGCTACGTGGGGTCTTAGGGAAGCCAAACTGGAAGCCTGACATACGTGTGTTGTATCTACCATACAACACAAGGGAAAAATTAACATAAACTCCTGATTATAGACATGCACTACTGCTAGGTTGCTACTACTTTTAAACACTGGCCTACACTTAACTTGGGCCTAAACATTACATGTACACTGTACGTGACTGTATATTAGGCCTAAACACTACATTAGGACTAAACACTACATTACAATTACATTGTATAATGGCTTTCTCAAACTCTAAACTTTGCCAAAGCCCTTTGTCCAGCAGACTGTAGTTATTTTGAAGCATGCAAATTAAAACTAGATTCAAGATCAGTGTAACCTTAGCATGTGATCCTTTAAAAATTAATATCTGTGAACTCTTTCCAAAAGTCAGTTACCCCAAACTATAACTGTTTTAAAATTGTTTTTTTTTCCTCATTATAAGGTTGGTCAGGCTTCTTTATTTCAAATAATTGTACAAATCTACAAATTGTTTCCTTTACATTCTAACATCATACGTTAGATTACTGAGAGTCTACACACGTAGTCTTTGTTACATGTACCACCCCCAGCTGAAACACCCCTAACCTGCGGGTCTGACCCTTCCTTCCTACCTGCTTGCATTTGACACTGAAGAGTAAGTAGATTGCTTCCTGCTACGCGGGGTCTTAGGGAAGCCAAACTGGAAGGAACGTGTGGCTGTGGGGGGTCTACCACACCATGGGAACATATCAGTATAGACTGTTCAAGGTGGACACATTTCTATCCAACAAATTAAAGTCTTATCATGAAAGTTCATGTGTTGATAGTTTAAAGTTAAAACTTTAGATCCAACACAAAAAGTTCTCTTAGTCTTACCGAGAGCTTTCGACCTGTCACTCTGGTCTTCCTCAGTAGACTGACCCAGTGAGGCTTGTCACGTGGCTTCTTTGAAGTGTGACGTCAACACTGGGTCAAAGGTATCTGTCGGTGTGTTGATGTCACAGTTCAAAGAAGCCACATGACAAGCCCCACTGGGTCAGTCTACTCAGGAAGACCAAAGTGACTGGTTGAAAGCTCTAGGTGAGAGCATTTTTTGTGTTGGCTCTAAAGTTTTAACTCTAAATATGACAGCATTAGTTAATTACATATAAATCTGTTTATGTACGTCAATGCAAAAATATTATATATTATATACATATAAATAGAATTCTGCAAATCGTCAACTTTCTGCAAGAAGTAGCCACTTCCACAGAAAGGCCTGGGGTAAACTGTATGTTAATGATTATATTATGCTATATAATAACTAACATAGTGTAATACACAGTCACACACACATACACAGACATTATAGTACGCAATGTTACATTGTAATTTGTATTGCAAGATTTGTGACAAAGTTACCTGAATCCACTCCTCCCATTTTCCTTTTTACTAATGCAAGAGGCAATGAAAAAAGAGAGAGAAACAGACATAAGAAGACAACAGTCAGACTACGGACAGTTGGGACAATGGGACAATAGGAAGCAACAACACGCAACAGCAAGAGATACAACAGTGTTACTGTACATTGTACAACTTACAAGGCAGCTATCACATGGACCGTACCATCAATCTTCAGGGGGATGTTGGGTGGAAAATTGTGAAATTTTCTGGCAGTCCTTGGGGTGAAAAACTATCAAACTCAAAGAAGCCGACCGGTCAAAAAACTAACTTTAGATTTTCAATCCAAACATCTGCTTGGCAATTACATTCATGCCCGGTGGTGGGCGAACTTCAAGATGCTTTAAAAAAATTTCATATTTCACAATTTTAAAAGTCCTTTTAGGAAGTTCCAATGATAAAATTCTAACTGCAACAAAATGTACATGTACATGTAGCTAAATACATGTAGAGCTGACATGAGGTTTGAAGTTTAATATTTGGTGTGTCTTGAATTGATTGCTTTCCCCTGTTTTACAATAGAATTCAATGGACCAAGTATTGGTAATTACTGGTCTCAGCCCCTCAGAGTCATAGACACTGGATTCTGGCACTGAACCAAGTATGGGCTGAAATACCCCAATGCCATACATGCACATACACTTCTATTTATTACATCTACATCTATAGGCACTCTGGAATATCAAAACTGTACTCAAATATTAAGCTTTCTCTATCCAATTTATTTTACTGACGGAGCAAACATTTGATGGTGTGACTTGTAATGTTGTACACATGTATTGGCAGCTCTACTCGAAGCTTTCCCAAATCGATTCCCATACATACTGTCTGTGCCATGTCTTTGTCTAGATCTGATGATCAATGACCAGTACCTGTACATGATAGCTAAGGCCACACCAATTTATTTCCTTGGTTAACGGATTCGCCGCTTCGTTTTTTTGCCAAAATGAAATAAAAATAAAAACAGAACAAAAATCCATACTCTCGGGTCCCGAATTGGGGCCCCAAAGTCAACCCGGTACGTTGTAATTTTTCAAAATTTGGGCATAGTTAACAGCGTTAAAAATACATTGCTTCAAGGCAGAAACATTTTTCTGAGTGCAATTTGTTCGGAAAGCTAGGTTGCCTCTTCAAAAGTTCGTCAAAAAAATTCTTTTGATATAGAACTCGCCCCCCACCCCCTTTGCACATGTCACCATTCATGGGACAAAACTTCACTGACGACAGTCAAACGTACGGCAGATTTAATAAGTCACCAAGTTTACCTGTAACAACATATCATCTCCCTTTTAGATATATATTATATTTCATTTAGAAACACGTATTGTGTCGGAAACATGTGCTAGTAACGGGCGTTAAAAGTACAATGTAATCGGCCGAACGTATAAACTCGGCCTGAGCGGCACATGCACACACACCTTCAAAACGATCTTTTTTTCCAGGGAATATGTAAAAATAACACGACATAACAATGTATTCTGGCATCACAAACTGTATTACTCTCAAAAAGTACAAAATCCTACCACAAACATGAGAATTTGGCAAAGTAAGAAGTCCTCCATGCACGTAAGTCCATTCACTATTTCTCACGGTCGGAAGAGTCCACTTCGAGTAGGGGGAAACAGGTTCTTTTAATTATAGAAATTACTCTGTGAAAAATACTACTTGTGCATGTGGCATTCTAACAAAGTTACATC